CTAATTAATCTAATATTTAATAATAATTATTTGAAATGTGATTCCATTAGATAATAGGTTTAAATAATAACAATAAGAATATTATTAGTGTTTCTATATATTAATTCAGTAGGGAATGAGAATATGTGCTCAAATATGGCTAATAATCGGGTTATCAAATATACTAAAGCCATTCGTTTTATGTTTAGACAAATTGCATACAAAACAGCATACATTTCCATTGATTAACAGTAGACGTAGTCCTTAATTGTAAGGGATATTCAAATAGATTTAGTAATAAACATATGTTTTCCATAATAATGAGAATTAAGCTTTGAATTGAAAACCGTTCGTAATATTTAAATAACAATATAATAATATATTTCTTAATTGTTTCAGTCTAGCTAACAATAATATTTTGTGACCGGCAATAGTATCGTTAGTTTATTTATTAATAAAATATGTATCAAATTAAGGCATTTGTTCCTAAACCGGGCGCAACGGAAAGCCAGAGTAAACAGAATCGTATTGAATGCACGAATCGATTCTGGTGTTGACGGGCACTGTATATCATGGTTAGTGATGCACACAATTCACAAAGTTGTATAAATGTCATACAATTTAGATTTAAACTCAAATTTTAATTACCTTTAGATTAACGTTTTAAAAATTAAATATAAAAACCATTTGCAACTAATTATAAAACAAATTCAAGCCAACAAGTTATTTTTAAAAATTTCATTACTAGTATTTTGTATTTCAAGAATATTTTATATGCAATATTAAATATAAATTATATAATGTTTGTTAACCAAAAGTACTAAAACAAGAATTTTATGGTCCACTCAAGCAAATAGATTCATATGAAAGATCCGCCGATTAATCATTTGATTCAATCAACAAATGTCAACAAAAAGCTAATTCATTATATTTTTGCCATATTTTATTTGAAACAAGTCTTTAATATAAAGTCTATTATTTTGTGACATATTCTGTGAATTTGAGTTAGAAAATTTGCGATAAGTTTATTAGATTTATATACAACTGTACTTTTAAATTACTCTTAAATTATGTCATAATTTGTGAAATGTTTAGAATTTATAAAATGATAACAAAATTAAACATTTATCAAAAATAATGCGATTTTTATCGTTTGATTCATTTCAAATAACTTATATAGTATTTACAGAAATCACAAATATTAACATCAAATTTACTGATAGGATATCTTTCAAAGAATTGCAAAATAAGTGTATTTTAAAACATATTTTATACGATTTTTTTTGTCTCAGAATATATTTTAAGTCATTAGAGTATAAAAACTTTTCAACAAAAAACTTCTTGACTTAAGTTAATGATAACTAATAATGTATTTGCAATTTTATAAAAAAAAATACAACTTATATACACGTACAGTATAATATACAATATTATTTGCTGATAAGGCCCACAAAACAAATAAAATATTTGTAAATTTATGTAAAATATTTGTTTATAAAATATGTATTAAAACAGCATTGCATTCAAACAATAAATTGCGATAAAAATTTAAATATTAAGGAAAATCAAAGCAAATTTATATACAAATAAAATGTTTTATAAAGAGAACATTTCTTGTCTAATAAATACAACAAAAGCTCAATCGTTGTGTTTTTGGCAAATGTAAAGATCATAAGAGGGCTTACCTTGAATTACATTGAGATATATGTTGTATTCATTCCCACATTTCTGAGATGAATATAAATAAAGATAAATATTTAGATTAATTAAACATAGTTTATGCTAAATATATCTCAATTGTTTTGTGCTTTACACATGTTGACTTAAAATTATTTTTAAACTATAAAATTATACCATTAAAGTTTGATAAAAATTAAATTTAGTAATTAAAATTTAAAAATATAATAGATTAAAATCAAGTGATTAATAATATTAAGTTCAAAAATAATAAAAATATTATTTAATAAAAGTAATCTGACAACTGAGTTATACACTTGTAATAATTACAACAAATTAAACCAAAGTATAGTTTACTTTGTGGGATCAAGTAAAATTAAATTTAGGAATTTTCTAACAAAAAAGCATTAAAATAGTATTTCAAATATTGTACTTTCATTTAGTTATTGATTTTAACGATTCATTTCTGATATTAATTTAAGTGAATTAAATATTTACTGAAAAACTCAAAGATGTTATTTCACGAAAAAGAAACTACACATTGAAAAGCATTAATATTTTATTTAGATCGAGATGTTTATAAATTATTTACTTCTGATTGCAAATTTAATCAATGAAAATGCAATATTTGCAAAATATTCACTTTGAAGTGCATTTTGTAATCTGTATTATATGTAAATTATATTATTAAAAATGCATTCAAAGTAAATATTTTGTATAAATGCATTGAAAACATAACAGAATATATTTATGGAAAACAATTGAATATAAATTAAGATTTTAGATAAGGTTGATGAATATAAATAAAGATAAATATTTAGATTAATTAAACATAGTTTATGCTAAATATATCTCAATTGTTTTGTGCTTTACACATGTTGACTTAAAATTATTTTTAAACTATAAAATTATACCATTAGAGTTTGATAAAAATTAAATTTAGTAATTAAAATCTAAAAATATAATAGATTAAAATCAAGTGATTAATAATATTAAGTTCAAAAATAATAAAAATATTATTTAATAAAAGTAATCTGACAACTGAGTTATACACTTGTAATACTGTAATTACAACAAATTAAACCAAAGTATAGTTTACTTTGTGGGATCAAGTAAAATTAAATTTAGGAATTTTCTAACAAAAAAGCATTAAAATAGTATTTCAAATATTGTGCTTTCATTTAGTTATTGATTTTAACGATTCATTTCTGATATTAATTTAAGTGAATTAAATATTTACTGAAAAACTCAAAGATGTTATTTCACGAAAAAGAAACTATACATTGAAAAGCATTAATATTTTATTTAGATCGAGATGTTTATAAATTATTTACTTCTGATTGCAAATTTAATCAATGAAAATGCAATATTTGCAAAATATTCACTTTGAAGTGCATTTTGTAATTTGTATTATATGTAAATTATATTATTAAAAATGCATTCAAAGTAAATATTTTGTATAAATGCATTGAAAACATAACAGAATATATTTATGGAAAACAATTGAATATAAATTAAGATTTTAGATAAGGTTAAAAGGATTTGGTAAACAAAGTGCAGTCAAAAAGCAAGTAATAGTGACCTGAATGGCGATATCAATGGCTGGTCCGATATGATCCAAATCAAACCGAAATGAAGACCTCTCGACCATTAAAAGTCCCACATTATAGCTATGGTTGATATGTTTGTGAGCTGTGGTTAACGACACAATTGTCACTAAATATATGGTAAGCAATTGGATCACCAAATGAATACTCATAATCACTTTGACTAGAAATGGAGGTTTAGTTTTTAGGCAGACTTTGGCCGAAGAACTCTAATTTAACTATAATTACATAATATGTATAAAAGTATAGCATTTTCTAACTTCTCGACACTGTTTTTGTGCGTACGAGTTGTGAATTCATCTCATTTTGAAAGTAAAGTGTAGTTTACTTTCACGTCTATTCTGTGCTTATTCTGTACACTAATAAAACTGTTGCAGTCGTTGAATGGCTTATAATGTTATGCCAAAGCATAGCATACTGTATGAGTGCCTCAGTATATACAGCAGATCAACGATTTACATGTCGTTAATTTCTGGCATCAAAATAATATATAATTCTGTGAAACGCGATATAATCTGAATAATAAATGTCACAAAAATTATAGACTGAAAGTCAATTCATTGCTTATATTGTACTGAATTGAGCAATGGATACAAAATTGTTGTAATTTATAACGTAGTTGCCTCTCTCTCTCTCTCTCTCGACCATTAAAAGTCCCACATTATAGCTATGTTTGTGAGCTGTGGTTAACGACACAATTGTCACTCAATATATGGTAAGCAATTGGATCACCAAATGAATACTCATAATCACTTTGACTAGAAATGGAGGTTTAGTTTTGAAATAAAGTAAAAGTTTTTTGTCGTAATTGTTGTGAGGAATGGAAGTAATGATTGTCTTGTTTTGTCTCCTCCCGCCTGTTTCCCTTCTCTTCAACTCTAATGTTATTTTAATTTTATGCCAAAACGTATCCATTCCTTCAAATATCACATTTAAGTCAAAGCAATATTTTTGTTTTGTTTTATAAGTTTTCAAATATTGTATTTTTTCTCAATCAAAATGAAAAGAAGCAAAAGTTGTCAAAATGTGAGCGAATGTGAGAATCTGTTGGCAATATTAAAAGAAAGACTTTGTAATAAATCCTTTCGCGAGTTATATCATCTCAAGTGTGAATAAATATATGATCTCTGAAATTCAAAACCAAGTTTTCGACTTTTTTATTGTCACTTTTGTGTATATTCTTCGACCAAAACGTGTTTCCAATACTAACTGAAGAGTCGATTGAATTTCAAAATTAATTTCACATTTTTAATTCAAACCCTTAAACACGTAGAAAACAATACATTTTGCATTATATAAATATATACACAAATTAAACACAGAATAGACTGTATCGACAAAAACAACTCCCTTTCGCAGACAAACGCCTTTTTCCGTAAAAATTCACTTCATTTGTGATATTAAAGCTTTGTTTATGTCGTTATATACGGATCTATTCTGTCATCATATTATAGCTATAGTTATATAACACCACTAATAGAATGCCATTAAATTAATACATATAATACCTGTAACTATAGATATAACTGTTAGGCAATGGCTCTCCAAATAAGAGCGGCTCCAAAACCATCAAACAATAAACTTTCAAATTATGCGAACTATAAGTGAGAAACTGATCGACAGATCTATTATAACAAGTATTTTGCATTCAAATATTGACTGCATTTCAATATTATTTATAAGCGATCATATCATTCAACGTTTACATACATTATTTCAAATCATTAATTCAACACTCGTTTGCTATTATTTATTTCCAATTCATCGCTCAAAACACATACAAACAGTATTTAACCGATATTTTAGATTAATTCTTGCGTTAAAGCCTTAAAAACTTTGGATGAATTTAACGAAAATTATTATCATTATTATTGTTCACTCAGTACTCAGTTTGTTTTGTTGGATATTTGTGTGTTTTGTATTAAATCAATAATTTACACAGTATTTTATTTGGATAATAGTGCTCTCTCTCTCTCTCTCATGTTTAAACCACATTTTATTAAACGTAATAACAATTTTATTCTCTGAGTTTAAATGAGAAATAATGTCACTTTTTGTTAAAATGATATGAAAATGCAATCAAAATCATCATAACATCCACTTTGAAACGGATATTAAATATTCTGTGCCTATAATTCAATCATAAAAACTAAATTAAAGAATATATTCTTTTTGCTTTAAACCCACATTAAATGCATTTATAATGCTATATATTTTAATTAGATGTATATTAATGTAAATCAAATCCATTAAGCATTAGCCGCGTTGTCCGCCTCCACGTCCGTCCCTTTCCCGAAATATTAGGCAATAATTTAGTTATCGGTTTCATTCAATAATTATTTATTTATGAATAAATTTTTGTATATAAATAATGATAAGTAAAACTCTTAAAAACAATTTTCAATGTTTAAATAAAAGAAGAAAACGTTAACTCTATTTTATTACTTGTTCAAATATTAAATTATATGTTTTTGAGATTTATAATGTTTTGTCTAAATTATAAATTATTAAGTTATGTTAAAAAACAACGAAATTATGTAAACAGAGTGATATTCAATAATAATAATAGTAATAATAATTAATAACTTAAAATAACTTCTTATATATAATCCTTTTTTCTCAACAATGTTTAAAACTTATTATTATTATTAATTTCAAAATCCTTTCATTTTTCTTATTATTTGATTAAAATTTTTGTAATAATTTACAAATAGAACTAAACGGAGAAAAAATAATAAATAGAAATTAAATTAATGTATCGATAAATTGTTAATTATCTATAATTAGTTCGTAGTATTGGACCGGACACTGATTTTCAGCAAGTTTTTTGTTTTGTTTGCCTTTTATTTTATTAATTGATGAGCAAATTTCGCCAAAAAATCAAATTGGTTTTTTATCTTTCTCTTTCCTAAATCAAAAAATCTATAAAATTAAAATTTAGCACATTTTCAATGAACTTCTCGTCAAATAAAATAATATATTCTCGTAAATGGAAGAGCATATCATTTATATATAACGGATCCGTTTTGGTGTCTGGTGTTGGAAGTACTAGTGTTCACAGGTATTGGTTATAATTGTCACAATTATAATAACTAAGAATAATAACATACTATGTGTCCCAAAAGGTATGCTAAAATTGTTTATATGTATAAATAATAGTAATTTTTAAATTTAATTAAATTTAACTTATTGTTTGAAACTCGTGTTAAGTTTTAACCAGTAATTCATTTATACATTAGTGTTGTGTTGCAAATAAATTTGAGAACCGTTTGAGTGCTATCTATAATTTGATGCCTTAAAGTGATGCCTATCTTAATGCTAGAAAAAAGTTTTTATTGATTTTGTATCGTTTGCTCCGAAATTATGTGCGAATTGAATAAAACGTTCAATAAATTAGAAATAAATGGATATAAAGAATATTCTTTAAGTTTATCGATAAACAGACGTAAACTAGAGTACGGCGAGGCGTCCAGCGATGACCTGAGCTCGGACTGGGGCTCGGAATCGGAATCCGATTCTAAACATATACCAAAACCAAAGGTTTACACCTTTTCTTATTCTCTTTCTCTCCCTATCACTGCATCTCATTGTTATTATGAACCGCTTATCTCTTAATGGAAATATAAGAAATACATTTTGTCATTAAATTTATTTCAATACAACTTGATATGAAACGATACAAACACTTTGGAGTACTCGTCTCACAATCATATTTACAACAATATTCATTGTTTTGTAGCATTCAGTAGGGGTTAGTGGGGGTCGTGTGAGAGAAGTTGTATTTATGTCTTATCTGTTTGTCAAATATGCATCATATCTACCAAATTATTTATTGCTTACAATTCATATGAATTTTTATTTTTGCGATAATATAAGAAAACAATGATAACTATTGATACAAAAATAGTTACGTGCAGTGATTTTGGTGACAGTTTTTCAATTTTAATTAATGAAATGATTGATCAAACTTTTTAAGATTAAATCGCGAAAATTCCTTAAATGCCTCTAAAGTAGTAAAAGCCAAGGGTTTGCGCATTACTGTTACGTTGGTTTGAAAAATAATCATATTGTTTATGTTACTTAAACTTTATTCTTAAATCTTATCGAGTTATTTAGAAAGTATATACAGTATTACACAATATACTTTTAATTGATAGTTTTGTAGAAATGCGAGTATTTCACGGGTGATATGTGTCCCGGATATCGCTGTCAATCGGCATTTGAATAGCTTTAATCCTATCGTTACGACAAAAACTTGTGAAAATTGTTTAGTATCGAGACATTAATTGAAAATTGCAACTCAAGACCTGACATCACAACTAATATTTGTTCATTTATTTTAAGCTTTAATTAATTAGCAATAATCTGTTAAAAACGAGTCATACATTTCTAAACATATGTATTGTTATCAACGAATTGATTAATATTAAGGATCTAATGATGTAATTGTGTTAATGATTAGATCTCCGCGTGGAGGAAAGTCCGCTCTCTCGTCATTAAAAACGAGTCATACATTTCTAAACATATGTATTGTTATCAACGAATTGATTAATATTAAGGATCTAATGATGTAATTGTGTTAATGATTAGATCTCCGCGTGGAGGAAAGTCCGCTCTCTCGTCACCTCTCCATTCATACAGACATATAAGAAACAAAAGTATCCATGGGTTCAGTTGGCCGGACATCAAGGTCTGCCACCCATTAATCTTGATTTTAATATTTAGTTATAATGTTGACTGCATTTTAGGGAACTTTCTTTGCGGGCAAACGCAGGGAACTATTCTTAAGAAACTGAACGGAACTGAAGAAACGTGTTTTAAGCTAATCACGAATGATGTCATCAAACCTTTGGTTCCCGAATACCTGAAGACGATTAATATGAATAACGATTGTAAACATTATTTAATATAAAATTATTGTAATATATTTGAAGTTTGTATTTACTCTTGAATTATATGATAGCATTCCTTGAACTCGAAGACCTTTTAGCAAAGTTTGAGAATCCGTCGATTATGGACGTGAAGATGGGAGTCCGCACTTACTTAGAGGACGAGTTAACTAAAGCCAGAGTTAGGCCTAAACTTCGAAAAGATATGTACGAAAAGATGATAGCAATCGATCCGTTAGAACCCACTGAAGAGGAGAATACGCTAAAAGCAGTGACAAAACCCCGATATATGATATGGAGAGAAACCATTAGTTCCACAGCTAGTCTTGGCTTCAGAATCGAAGGCATCAAACAATCAAATGGCAAAGCATTGAAAGATTTTAAACGAACCAAAACTGAGGACAACGTGAAGACAGCGTTCAGACGTTTTATGGAAAGCCATCCGCACTATGGGGTCAGTTGTCACACATGTCTCCAACAAAACTCAATCATTAATACGAATGCATTTCCTTATGTTTCAGTCGTTATATTTAAATAAATTAATTGTAATCAACGAAACGATAAAGTTATCGCAATTTTTCGCTAATCATGAGGTATTTGATGACTAATGAATAGCAAGTGTTTTGTGTGTCTGTTTGAGATGACATTTAACACAATGATTGTGTGTATTGAACACACAATTGTATTGCTTGTGTTACAGATAATCGGCAGTTCCCTTCTGTTTGTTCACGACGACAAATGCGCTGACATTTGGTTAATAGATTTCGCCAAAACATATCCACTACCGAATGGCATACGAATCAGTCATTGCAATGAATGGCAGGTCGGCAACCATGAGGACGGATATCTCATTGGACTCGAAAACCTCATCCGAATCTTTACTAACATTTAATTTATTTAAAACCATTGATTTGTTGACTTTGTTTGCCTTTTTGTACAAAAAAGTATATATTATATCATAAAAGGTTTTTTATAAGCAATTAGTTATGAAAATTCAGTCGTAATCTCTATTTTTTGACGAAACAAAAAACAAATTTAATTTTATGAAAATATTTTTACACGTTTTTGAGCTAAAATTGTTTTGTATGTGAAATGAAATCTATTTTTATGTATAAAATGAATAAATTACTAATCAAAAGACAAACGACGCCTTTTCTCGCAACAACTTAATGCCTGATTTGGTCCACTCGTCGGATGTAATCCACATCTCCTGAGCCGAGTCCAGTAAACTCAAGACCGCCGCCCCCTTCCAGCTCACTATCTGTGAGTCGATGTCTTTGGGTTTGACGTGTATTTCCACGGTTTGTCCCCGAAATTGATTCGGGATTTGCTGTGAGACACGGCTTCGAAGGTATTTATCGATTCCATTGAAGGCGAGTCCTCCGCCGCACAGCAGTATTGAGCCAAACATACGTCGCTTAACCTCATCCGACTCACACTGATCTATGCATTGGACAATCGCCTGATCCAAGCCTAACAACTGTTGGTCTGAATTGATTTCTTTCACATTTGGGTTCACATCACAGCCGTCCAACTCGTCATCAATGGTGGCCTCAATAGCGGCCGATTCACTCGTTTGTCCCAAATTGTCATTACTTTCTCCATATTTTCTCTTCGTTTGAATCAAATAGTTTTCATCAAACGGATCGTCAGAGTGACCATCATTTCGGTAAAGAATTCGCATTCTTTTGGTTGAATTCATGGTTAATGCAAACAATTCTGGATAAAAGAGGCCCAAAGGCCCTATAATACACTCATCGCCTACAAGTATAGTATAGTCGAGAACAGGTTCTTCGGGAACAGTTACTCTAAAGCGGGTTTCTTGATGTCCGCAAACATCGAGATTCAAATGACACAACTTTTGTTTAAGTCCTTCTAAGAAGAGCGCACCGACTCTTGTCTCGGGCTTACACTCGTAGGGAAAGGTTTTTTGTTTCAATAAATAGTGAAATACTTGTGTTATATCACTTCCGCCGTATTCAAGAGTGAGGCGAGTATTTCTTGAGCCGAACCCGTCTTCGATGCAACAAATGCTAGTCTTCTCGTGTCCTAAATATGAACTCAATGTTTGAAATGACAAAACATTGAAATCCAATAGTATTGCAATACTAACCGACGTCTACAACACATGCAGTGGACAGTCCGGCCCCGAAAGTGGCGCAAACGGCTATCGTATAAATCATTAATATAAGCGATTGAGTAATAAATTGTGGTTTTTATACCTTCATGAATGAGAAGACATGACTGAAATCCCAACCCATTTAACAACATTTCAATCATATATTTAATATGATTTCTGTTGTAAACGTCGGGAATAATGAGAACAACTCTGTATTGATTTAACTCTTTAAGTGATATTTCAAAGTGTTTTTCAATAGCTTTGCCGCAAATGGATTCCAAGTCTGCTATAATACTGGTTAGAGAACCGCCCAAACAATTGCTCACATTTAGAACACCTCTGAATTGATTACAAAAGCAATTAATTAGTTATCTTTCAATTGAAGCCAAGTTTGTAATCACCTTCTGATAGGCCATCGGATATGGAAGGGTTGGCCCGGCTTTAGATATAATGCCTCTTCGCCGATAAGAACGTCTTCATTGCCCTTTAATTGAGTCCATTGTTGGCCATTAGGAGTACTTTTGGACAAAACAATAGGTTTGGATCTCTTATTAAAATTATTGATGACATCCGTATTGGAAGCGGTTCTCAATCGACCCGAAGATGTGAGACACGAGTTGAGAACATTTGCGATCGACTTTTGACATTCATTGTGCTATCGTATAAATCATTAATATAAGCGATTGAGTAATAAATTGTGGTTTTTATACCTTCATGAATGAGAAGACATGACTGAAATCCCAACCCATTTAACAACATTTCAATCATATATTTAATATGACTTCTGTTGTAAACGTCGGGAATAATGAGAACAACTCTGTATTGATTTAACTCTTTAAGTGATATTTCAAAGTGTTTTTCAATAGCTTTGCCGCAAATGGATTCCAAGTCTGATATAATACTGGTTAGAGAACCGCCCAAACAATTGCTCACATTTAGAAGACCTCTGAATTGATTACAAAAGCAATTAATTAGTTATCTTTCAATTGAAGCCAAGTTTGTGATCACCTTCTGATAGGCCATCGGGTATGGAAGGGTTGGCCCGGCTTTAGATATAAGGCCTCTTCACCGATAAGAACGTCTTCGTTGCCCTTTAATTGAGTCCATTGTTGGCCATTAGGAGTACTTTTGGGGTTTTGTTATCCAAACCTAGAGAATAATTTTAATAACTACTGTAGGCATAACCTTCGCCAAGAGTTAGCTGGGCTTCTACACTCTGTGCTCAACTCTTGTAAACGCTAGCTGAAAACTGTAAGTAACACACTCTTTTCCAACTCTTTGTTCGTTGCCTTCAATGGTAAGAGATGTGTGTCTTCAGTGAGTGTCTGTTTTGAGCGGAAGAAAGCCGGCTAATACAATACTTATAAGAAGCCGAAGCCTAGCGTTCGAGAAGGGTTTGCGTCCTTTTCTCTAGGGTTTGATTACTGTTTTTAGAAACAGCTTAGCTAACTTAGGGAATTAACTATGCTATTTGTTTCGGCCTTACATTCCGTGTCCAGCGATGGACTTATTGTCTTACTTTCGGACCTTTCGGTCACTTCTTTGGCGATCAAACTCTCAAACGAATCCATATTTGAAGTCATTTTGGGATCAAAATGAATGCAAAACTCATTGTCTCAGCACAACCGTCGATGGCATGACTGCATCGCAAGGGATGGCACACCAAATGCACATTCAATTGAGTCCAACAGCTGTTCCGATAGTCGATGTCTTTGTGTCCACTTTAGGGCTAATGTTTAGTGTTTTCGGTTTGCGTTCATATGATTGCCGCACAAAACCCATTCACAAACACTGTTACGCAATGTTATGGCTGTTATGGCTGTTATGGCCCCCCAATTGCTACCATCGGTTCATTTACTTTTATTAAACTTTTATTTTTATTAACCTAAGAGTGGAGGAATGGTTCCCATAAAGTGATCAAAATTACGGATTGTCGTTAAAATAAGACTCATTTTGAGCTTAACTTTTAGACGAGAGTCTAAAATAATTAATAATTTATTGCATTATATTTGCAATTCATTTAACTCTACACCAGATCTCTATTGTTTGTGAAAATCCTATAAATTAATAGACATTTATTAAAAATACATCCAAATTATGAATTGCATTGAAAAGTGTATTTAATCGGACATTCGTGTCGTTTTTGTAATAACTCGATGAATATTGTGCCACAATATCTATATACAGTATTTTCAAATTTAAACTATTTAGAAATATTTGCAAATGTTTAATGATTTTCAGCAACACGAAAACAATCGTGACTTTTTCCAATTTTTCAGACAATTTATCGAATAACATACGTAACTTTCTGTACAGTGTGTCTTAGCGGTGTTATAAGGGTGTATTAAGGGTGTTCTTAGTGGTGAGTATCGCAGCAAACATTGGTATTCCCAGCATTCAATTTATTCAAAGTCCCAAACAATTAATTATACCCATTATTGTGTATACAGAATCGCCACAATATTCCCACATAATTCCCACAAGAATCACGTGAGTATCGCAGCAAACATTGGTATTCCCAGCATTCAATTTATTCAAAGTCCCAAACAATTAATTATACCCATTATTGTGTACATTTAGGATTCCCTGCATTAATATTAATGCACATCTATTCCTAACTATATTCCTAACAAGTATTATATAAGGTGTAAGCAATAATGTGTGAATAAAAAATAGGTAAATTTTGTTCATTCATAAACTAACAAATATAACTAACATTTAAATGGTTATGGTTATTGATTCTAGCATGTTTGTACTAATGAACCAGTGTTTCAACTTTGAATTATAGCAGAATAGATTATTTTTAAGTAAAACTAAAAACTTTTAACTTTAGCTTGTAACTTTTAAGAATTATTAATTCTTAATTTTTAGTTCTTAATTATTTTTAAACAATCTTTCAAACATATTGTAAAATATTTCGCAAAGGTTTTGCACAAATGTTTCAATTGATTACTATTGAATTTTATTAAAATATAGTCAAATATCAAAATAAATACAATTTAATAGTAATTGTAATCAAATATTGTGTAGAAATGTGTTAAATATAAAACTAAATTATATATACTTTTCTAAACAACAAGATTTGCATGAATTATATATAAATTCTATTGAGTTTACAATAGAATAAAAATTGGTTTTGTGTCCAAAGGATATAATTTTATAAATATTTAATAAATTATACAAAAAGCTGTACAAAGTTTGCACAACAATTAAATTTAAATCAATCGTTTGCTATTTGAGGGGTAATTGAAGTGATAGTGTGTGAGAGGTGTCGGGTTGTAGTAGTGGTTGAGGGGGTTTGGGGTGGAAGTAGGGGTACGGGAGGTGTTGTAGTGGAATGAATTTAGATCATCACATCAGTTGTTGCCATTCCTTTGCTTGTATTGTAATTAATAAGATAACTAAGTATCTCATTGTGACCGAAAGAGGCGGCCAAATGCAACGGATGCCACCCGTCGTGGTTTGTGAGGTTCGGGTTCGCGCCGTTCAGCACCAGTTGCCTAAACCACGACACGTCTCGGCCTATTCAACACAATTAAGTCAATCCATTAGTTTATACAATATTACAGTTAAATATTTTAAATATTCCAGCATGGTACTTTTATTAAATTAAACAATGGTAAGTGTAAGGCAAATGTAAGGCAGAACTAACACACAATGAATGTTAGTTTTGAGCAATAAATTGAAGGAATGTGTAATTGATTGGCAAAGAAATATGAGAAGTGACCACAAAATGCATATCAATTGCAAAAACTTTATGACTATCACTAACCGTAATCCGAGTCATAACTTAATCCAAAACATAGAAATCATAAATATTTCGCATTTTATGATCTGATATAACAAAAGACGGTCAATAAAGTTGTGCCAAAGTTTAGCAATGAAAGCATTGGTTCAAAAATGATAGTATTTATACCTAAGAGTAGACAATAGTGAAGAACCGTTTGTCCGTTTATAAAGACATTTAAGTCGGGTTTTGATCTCAAAATGATTAGCAATTCTTCGAAGTCATCGTTTCTAATCACAGACAGGATTTGTTTGGCGATCGATGTCTTATGGCTGGCGTTAGTCTTATCACTATTAATATGATTAATATTATGATTACTATTGATTTTATTGCTGTTATTATTTGTATCACACATTATGTCCATCATATCATAACAATGAGAGCTGCAAACTGTGCGCCACCACTGCCTCCGACACAGACACTGTCACAACTGCCTCTTGTCTCAGCCAACTGTCCCCAACTGCCTCTCTATATCCAATATAATGCCAAATGTATGCCTTGTATGAGTAGTGTTGTGCGATTGTGCCAATTCTGCCAATTCTGCCTTGGTACTACAGTTGGTTATACAGTGGGTATATGTCTGGGCATGGCTTGGGCTTGGGCTTAGGCTTGGTTGGTGTGGGTATGGGTATGGTATGCCACCAGTTATGCCGCGTGAGTGACTGAGTGTTTGTGGGAACCAGAGAGGGATGGGAGAAGGATGGGAGAGCGAGAGAGCGAGAGAGCGAGAGAGAGAGAGAGAGAGAGAGAGAGAGAGAGAGANGAGAGAGAGAGAGAGAGAGAGAGAGAGAGAGAGAGAGAGAGAGAGAGAGAGAGAGAGAGCTAGTGAGAGAGGGAGATGTGGTCCGGATGTGTAGCCTTACTGTAGGGTTGGGTACATATTGTGTGAGACTATGAGAAACAATTCTTTGGCATTCATGTGAGAAAAGTCGATGAGAAACATTCACACACAATATAATCAAATCACAACTCATTACATAAACCTATCTAATAATAACTGATCAATATTATCATCAATGTCATACACTTCACTATTATTCACTATTTTCTTAATTCTATTGTTACAATAGTATTGTAATACCATATTTGATAACTATTTTATTAATTTAGTTCAACTAAACTAATTATCAATAAGCTATGGATTCGTAACAATACATATGTAATAGATATACAATATATGGTATTTATTTGATTTAGTAGAAACATTCACACACAATATAATCAAATCACAACTCATTACATAAACCTATCTAATAATAACTGATCAATATTATCATCAATGTCATACACTTCACTATTATTCACTATTTTCTTAATTCTATTGTAATACCATATTTGATAACTATTTTATTAATTTAGTTCAACTAAACTAATTATCAATAAGCTATGGATTCGTAACAATACATATGTAATAGATATACAATATATGGTATTTATTTGATTTAGTTATTGTAATACCATATTTGATAACTATTTTATTAATTTAGTTCAACTAAACTAATTATCAATAAGCTATGGATTCGTAACAATACATATGTAATAGATATACAATATATGGTATTTATTTGATTTAGGAATTACATTAACAAGTATTAGTATTTGAATAACTTATCAATAAATATAATCTATAATTCAATGGATGTATTGTTCCCACAGTTTGAGAGCAAATTAGTGATTGTCGAGGCTTTGAATCCGTCAAAACTCTCACTATAACTACTATAGTATAACTCTCTTCTCTATACCCGAGACTACTGTTGAAAGTGCGCTCATAATTGGTTCCCAATCTCACGGCATTCCCACTCCTTCTCCGGCTATATGTTTGCCATCACTTGACGGCAGTGGGAATCACTGGCAATCCCGGCATTCAGTCCCGAAATTACATTATATTCGCAACAATCAAACTCTAATCAAATCAACCAACACTACACACACTATATTCCCATCTCTGCCAACAAATAAACCATTTTATTTAAATTCACTCAAATAATTCAATAAAAGTATCATGGTTAGATCACCAACTTATACCATAATTCTGTAATATTTGCAATATTTATAATGGTCAATTTAAATTAATGCAACTTCTACTTTATTAGATATAAATGCACATCATATAACATGATAATTATATAACCAATATACATTGTATACATTAAATATATTGTATAATTTACATGTTTAGCGCGTTTACTGTTATTCATTGTATTCAATATAGGATTGGATTCTCGTAACAGTGTTTGCGTATTGTTGGGGTTGTGAGTGAGTGTGGAGTGAATGAGCGTAACGTTATATTTGAGCGGTTATTGTTTATGACAACAAATGTCAACAAAAATCTGTTTCGTTTGAAACAAACATTTCTGTGAAAAAAATTAGATTCAGTTNAAACCTCAATTGATGTGAGTCCTGATGTTTGACGAGCAGCTCAGCCAACGCTCGTTCGCCGATTGAGCGGACGTTCCTGAGGGCACGGGTGCGGCCCTCGCCCTCAATGATCTGACAGTGCAATAGAGTTATCAATTTTCTTTGCATCGGACGCGACAACGATTGGTCTGAAATACAAATCAAATTCAATTCAAATGCAATTCATTATAAGACGAGAAGACGTTTACTTTGTTGTTGAGGTCGTAAGAGAAGTGCCATTTGTTTAATACAATCAATGCATTTGCGATAATAGGGAATGTCTTTGACTTCAACACATTCATAGCTCTGGACACCGATTCTGTCATTAGGTCTGGAGTTTGGTTGTGAAGACTGGGAACCATTAGGAGGACAGCCATTGGTCTGAATTAATCCCAGAATCGCCTCATTTTCGGGCAGTTTGGTCTCAATGGGCGTCGAATCGAAAGGACAGCTTTGGACTGACTATAAGAGGACATAAAGAGTGGATTCAATGATTGGTGACAATTGCGGACAATAGCGGACCTGAAGACAGTTTGAACAGCAGGTGTGGGAACAGACGAGAGTGAAGGGCTTTCTTTGGTTTGAGAACTGATTGAAACAAATGTGACACAAAAGGTAGTCATTTAATTGTGGCGTTAATGGCATTGAATATATTCTTCTTGTGTCCACACAATCCACAGCTAATCAAATGATAAGGTCTTCAATGGGTCTCCGCTTTCAGTCAAACATTCAAATCAATTGTATTTAAAACTGAATCTAATTTTTTTCACAGAAATGTTTGTTTCAAACGAAACAGATTTTTGTTGACATTTGTTGTCATAAACAATAACCGCTCAAATATAACGTTACGCTCATTCACTCCACACTCACTCACAACCCCAACAATACGCAAACACTGTTACGAGAATCCAATCCTATATTGAATACAATGAATAACAGTAAACGCGCTAAACATGTAAATTATACAATATATTTAATGCATATAATGTATATTGGTTATATAATTATTATGTAACATGATTCATGTTATATGATGTGCATTCATATATAATAAAGTAGAAGTTGCATTAATTTGAATTGACTATTATAAATATTGCAAATATTACAGGATTATGGTATAAGTTGATGAGATGACCATGATACTTTTATTGAATTATTTGAGTGAATTTAAATAAAATGGTATATTTGTTGGCAGAGACGGGAATATAGTGTTCGTTGATTTGATTAGAGTTTGATTGTTGCGAATATAATGTAATTTCGGGACTGAATGCCGGGATTCCCACTGCCGTCAAGTGATGGCAAACATATAGCCGGAGAAGGAGTGGGAATGCCGTGAGATTGGGAACCAATTATGAGCGAAACACACTTTCAACAGTAGTCGGGTATAGAGAAGAGAGTTATACAGTACTAGTAGTTATAGTGAGAGTTTTGACGGATTCAAAGCCTCGACAATCACTAATTTGCTCTCAAACTGTGGGAACAATACATCCATTGAATTATAGATTATATTTATTGATAAGTTATTCAAATACTAA